TCTATATTAAGTAAAAAATGTTCCTAAGCAAATTTTAAATCTATTAAACCTAAAAAAAGAAATTTTGTTAAAAGGTCAATTTGGTCCCTTTTCCCAGCACTCACCCCATATTATATATAATAATATTATTTTTAATAAATAAAATTAATTATTAAATTTTAATATTATATAATTTAAATTAATTACAATATAAATTATAATAATATAAATTATTATAAAATATTAATCATAATGTTACATTTATTATTATGTGATAATTATGAATTTAAATCTTTAAATTTGTAATATATGATATTTTAATTGCAATACTTTTCTTAATTAATAATTGTTAAGTCAGATCAAGTCAATTAATAATTTGATTTGTTTAAAATTCTAAAAATAACTTTAATAAATAAAGCTTTATTAAATTTTTTTTTTCTAAATTATATAAGTAATAATTATATAATCATTTATTTTTATAAACATATTATAATCAATATCAAGTTTAAGCTATAAAATTTTACTTTAACTACTTGCATTAATTATATACAATAATTTATTGTAATTTTCTTACAATTATAATTAACTAAAAAATATTATTATTAATATAATTATATTAAATTTTATATTTTTTATATTTTTTATTTAATTTATTAATTATTATAAATATATTATATACAATACTTTGATTTGTTTGGTTAACCATTTTAACTATTTTAATCATTACATATTACTGTATTTTTCATATGGATTATATCTTTATTTCCATGATTTAATTTTATCTTATAAACTTTTTTGCAAAGAAAGAAAAAAACTGACTGCAAAACAAAATTTTTAATTAATGCTAATATAAAGGAAGTCATGAATTTTTTAACATCGTTTACAAATTAATGATTTTTAATAGTTTAGATTGTATAATACATAATTTCAAATCACTGAATACATTTCAAAATTCCATAGAAGTTTGCATAACTATAATAACAAAATTAATTTATATAAAATTAATTTATTTTGTGTCAAAAACTAAAGTTTTAACTCGCTTATAAATACCTTTATTCTTCGCCCTAATTTCATTCAATATATTATGAACAAAGCTATCAAAGTACTTAATATATGGCCTAAGGGACGTCTTTTCGTAAACTACAAATAAACGAAAAAATTATCATTTGATATTTAAAACTGATACGTTTATTTATAATTACCGTGTAAGTTTCTTTCTCTATCTTTATTCACGTTATTTCTATTGTATTCATCAATTTCATTATAAAGTGAATAGATCGTAGGAACACTCATAGGATTAAAATTTTCACATTCTTCTGGTATTATCGGTACACATACTTGTCCTATTATAATAAATATATGTCAATAAATTAATTTTAATCGTGATATACATACATATCTCAATTACTTTCGATAACCTTACCAGTACTTGGATGTACACAAAACGGACTTTTCAATAAATGAATCATTTTTGTTGAAACCGCCTCATCAAGTCTCGGGTATAAATATTGAAACATAATTTCCTTTTTAAGTATATCGCCTTTCCTTTGAGTCTACAATGATTACAGTACAATTAAGTTAAAATTGATTATTATCATTGTCTTTCGTTTAATAAAACTATACCTCTAATTCCTTTATCAGATCGTCCCACTTTTGAATCGAATGCCTACAAGGATTATCCCTCCAATTGTCATTCAACTTTTTCCTTACATCTGAGCAAGGATATTGTGATATTGATAATCAATGTCGTTAAATAATTGATATTTTATCTTGTTAAAAGACAACGTTAAACTCACCAACGTCGGGTATACAGTCAAGAACTTTTGACCATTCTTGTTCATCTTTCAACACTTCTTGATCCCTCAAAATAACTTGCTCAAAATATTCCTCAATGATATTATAAGCGCGACTACAAAATAGTAAAAATGAACAAACATTCTAAAATAAATATAAATTTTCTCATCTTTATAATAAATACCTTAATGAAGGATGAAGTTGATGGAGTTTAGGTAGATAAACTTTTTTGTTTTTCTGAGCGCCTCCCTATAAAAAATAATATGAAATGAATAATCGGTATGTATATATATGATATAATAAAATTTAAAGTTCAAACCTTAATAACTCCTAAATATGAAGCTATAGACCTTCTTTCATCATCACTTAATTGACGTGCCCGTTCATCACAAACCCAACAATGAACTCCACGACGACCAGAATACACCCAGAGTAAATGTTTAAAACCAAAGTCCTCTTTAGAATATAATATTTAAATTAGAGATATAACTATATTCGTCTGTAAGGCATAAGGTATTTTATAATTAATTAATTACCTCTTAAAGCTGCGTCTAATATTTTAATAGCAACTGTGATTAATTGCCAGCATTTCTCACAAATGATAGCACCACTAATAATTCGAATATTGAAATATGAAGTTTTGAATTATTTGATTGTTGACCAATTTCTAATCAAAAATACCTGCAACAAGTACGAAATTCATCGTAATCGTTCATATCAATATCAAAAATCAATTCTTTCTCAACAGGTTTTAATGCTGAAAGTTTCAATGATTTCTTTTCTTTGGGCTATTTAACGAAAAATACGCATTTTAATTTGTTAGGCTTCAAGATATAAAATTCATGTTACATATAAATTGATCAATTACTTTAGCTGAGAAAACCGCTCCAATATCAATTTTTTTTGGATACATTCTTAGAATTTCATTTTTGAAGTCTTCAATGGTATCGAACGATAGGTATCGTATATAAGCATCATTGTTATTAACAAAATTAAATTCGCGATTTTGGAAAGATTTACCAATATCTGTATATAAAAATTTGTCAACAGAATGAATCATATAAAAGGACAGTTCTATTATATATCTACCAATGCCATAGTTTAACCAGTAGCAATAAATTTTAAATGGAAAAAGTCGTTGATAAAAAACGCGTAAAAGTTCCACCGAATCCCCTTCATTCTCGATTCTGGATATTAAAAGGTTTAAATATTTTATTAATTCGTACGAATCATAGATATTATTATCATTATAAAAACCTTTGGGGTTTAATAACTTGAGGCTCGTCAATATCCATGAGTTTTAACAATGGTATGGATGAGTGATTTTTTTATAAAAACAGACGCGTTTGAAGTTATTTATAATTGGATCATAAATATAAATTAGGTAACTCGCGATTAAAAATTAGAATTTAATAAAACTTTGTGTAATGATATATCTTTATTTGTATATAAAATTATGTGAAATACTAATTATATAGAACATTGGAATTTTTTTTTCGCGACGCGTTTTACCATACTATAAAGGGCAAGTGCAGATGTAAATAAATATAAATAGTATCTCGTGTTCAATTTATTATAAAAATTCTTACATGAAAAACTTAAGAGTGAATAATGCCAATAATTACTTCCGTTATAAGAAAACTTAGGAAAAGAAATTTTGAACAACTTCGACCGTATACCGCCGAGAGGATACAAGCTAAAAGTCAAGGTGTACCAGTTGAAGTAGATAAAGAAGTTCTTCGGAATGAGAATAGCATAAAAGAAAATTACGGTGGTTATGTCGAAGACGAAACAGACTTATCATTTGTTGAAAATGACGTAGGGGAATCACAGGAAGATCAATGGCAATTTGATCAAGAACCACAAGGAGGGACAAAAGTTTTAGGGAAGGCTAACCGTCGAAATGTTGTCAGGTCTCCAACTCCACCAAATGTATTAAGAGATATTACCCGTGAAAATATTGATTTATCTACATCAAGAAAGTCGAATGTATCACGAAATGAGTCACGGAATGTTAATGTTGAAGGTCAACATGTTTCTTCATCCTCAACGTTATTAGATGGCATTTATCATGAAGAAAGTGATGATGATGATGATGATTATGATGAGAATATAACGGTGACAAGTAATGAAGGCGACTTAAATTCTGAATCGGGTAATGAAGAAGAAATCGAATCAGTATTTAGTAGTATTAATGATGAACCTGTCTCTATTTCAAATGATGAAAGTAATGATCATGATGGAGATGAAATACACGGTGTGGACATAATTAGTAGTGATGATGAGACATATAATTACAGGACAAGTAGTGATGTTATTTCCCAGCGTGGTTCAATATCATCTCGATCATCTAGACCATCTGAACAAAACTTGGTATCTAAAAAGCTAAAAGATTTGTTGCAATGGGCAGATACCACACCAGTATCATCACCAAATGATAAAAACTTTCCAATTGAAAAATATTTAGAACTCTTTGAGGAACTTCATAAAAATATTTATGTGGGAAATCCCTGGCCAGAACCAGCAAGATCTTTAATAAGGGATTTGATGATGTATTGGGCAGGATGGCGACCTAATAATAATGGAATAAATAATTGTTATAAAATTTTAGTGAAATTAATTGTGATTGTACCTATTAATGCGTGTAATGTACCGGATATTACCATCTTGACTCAAAGATATCTGGATTTGACATTACAGTTGCTTGGACGTATAATAGATGATACACCGATAGACCATGTAAATGAATTTATTTCAAAGTTCAATAAACATACTAGAGTTTTAATAAATAATATGCGTTGCAAAGGGGTTCAGGACAAAGCCAATGAAAATATAGCGATTGCAATTTGTTCGGTTATTGCTTTAATCAATAAGAAACCAATGAGCGAGTATATTTTAAATAGGTTCACTTATATTTCAAAAAGAAATCAAGAATGGATAATAAGATCTTTGATGTTATTAAACCAAACATTAAAGATGTTAACTAGTTATGGAAATGGCACAAAGGTATATATTACAGTATAATGTTTGACATTTCCCGCATTACTTCACACAAAATTGTCTAAAATTGGATTGATTTGATTTGAATTTTTTTTTTTTTTGATAATAGCAAACACTTTTAGATTTATTTGAATTGCTCAAACGAAAGTGTCGAGATGGAAGAATGGGTTAGTGAAATATGTGAATAATAATTATAGTTCATTTTATTTTAAACTTATTAAACTAATAAAGAATTTTCTTATTTCTCAAGACCCTGAAGTTAAATTAAAAGCAAAAGAATGCTTGGAAACCGTAAAGGCCATTAATTAAAAATTGAAATTCAAAAGAAATATGGCTGTATACAAGAAATTATGTACCAATTCATACAAAAAAACGAGAGTAATTAGGGTTAACATCGACATTTAATATTTATTAATTTTAATTCCGTTTTTTGTAGTAATCATAAAAAAATATGGAGATTATAAATAAATAAATGAACTTTGTCGGTTCGATATTTTGTAATTTAAATATAAATCAAATAACTACATCTTTTATACGGCAATTTTTTTTAAAGCGTAACGATAATCTTAAACAATAAAATCAATCCATATTTTGTATAGGTTAAGGTTTCCTGTGCAATTGAAAGGATTAAAACTTATTTACAAAATTGATGTTTCTATATATACTCCAAAAAATTAGATTAATATCGATTGAGAGGCTTGTAACCTATTAACCGCAATATATCAAATTTATAGTTATAATTATAACTAAATTTTTAACAGGAAACATTTATATATTTTCCAGACCAAGATGAAATTTGGGGTTAACACGAATGAGCTGAATACTCGATGACAATTGAATCCAATACAAGCTAAGTTATACTTAAAAGGCAATTAATCTTTAAAAATAGTAATATTAAAATTAAAGAGATCAATATGTAATTTTAGAGATAATTTTGCCCAAACAGGTCTAGTGATTCTACAATACCATAAAAACTAACCAATCATAAGTATTATTAATTAAAAAAAATTAAAGGTAAAGCTTTCTTAAAAAATTCGAGCTTTAAAGAAAAATATGGCCGCTACAACAATTCCTAACACAAATAACGCTACAACAACTAACACTCTTACCGCACAAACTGGTATTAATGGACCTCCTGTTGGTCACAAAATAAACGCTTCTGAAGTGGGTTGGCTTTTCGTTCATGAATACTATACATTCTTAAACAAAGACCCAAGTCGTCTCCACTGCTTCTACGGACAAAAATCAACCCTCATCCATGGAACAGAAGGTGAGACCGTGAATCTTTCTCAAGGAGAGAAGGTGAGATCTGAGTAGAATTTCTTTGTAACCTTCTTGATCGTCATTTCAAGATATTTATACTTGCAAAAAGTTTTGCATTGATAGATTCAAAACTACCCCCCACCTTTTAGATCTCAAAGACGCTAAATTTTTATTATTACATTTTATTACATTATCGAATTATACTTTCCTTTCCTTTTTTTTTTTTTTAAAAAAAAAAAGCAATATTCATAATTGACTATATAGCTTTATTTTTTTTATATTTCTAACCCTTTTTCTTTTTTTTTTTTGATAAATTTAATAAGGAAATCAAAGATAAATTCCAAGGGTTAAACTTAGAAGATTGTCGTGTTCTCGTCACCAATGTTGATAGTCTCGCGTCTATAAACGGTGGAATAGTAATTCAAGTATTAGGCGAAATGAGTAACCGTAATGAAGTTGCACGAAGATTTGCTCAAACTTTTTTTCTGGATGTACAGCCAAACGGTTATTATGTGTTGAATGATATCATCCGGTTCCAATCGGATGATGAAATTGAAATATACAATGGGGAAGAGGTAGCTGGTGCATCCACCTCACCCGCTGGAACATTGGTCGATGAACCGATTGATGTTTCTTCGGCCCGGGTTGAACAAGCAGGTCCATCTGATTCTACCCAAAATACGATTATTACAGAACCTTCTCTGGTCACTCCAAGAGACACGGATTTAAATATGACGGTTACATTTTCAACAAATCCAGAAGTTGTTCCTTTACATGCAACTCCTGTTGATATGGAAGTTACCGTTCCTGTCGTTGATGATGGCGGAATGCACACTCAACCACCACTTATTTCATCAATCATAACTGATACGAGCGTACAACCTCCAAAACCCGCGACAATCGTACAGCCTGGTCAGATTATTCCTCCATCACTACTCGTTGTGCAAAACAGTAATGGACAACAACTTGCTAATGTAAACGAGCAAGGGCACGTCACAACTTTAACGGGTATCGTGTCTCAAGAAGAAGCTCATGCAACACCTCCCCCTATGCAACCAATTCAAACCTATCCAAGTAAGCCTCAATCAGCATCTGTTGTCTCAGTTAACACTCAACCGCCTGCTAACTTGAATAAACAAGAACCCGCTATTGCCCTCGAATCACATGTATTAAAAAAAGCATCGTTACAAGGAAATAATTTTCAAGCTCCAAATTCTACAACGGTTGACGCTGCAGCTACTTCTAACGTTCTAACATCATCTTCAGATGAGCACGATAAGAATGGACCACAATCTACAATTTCAAAGAAATCGTCTGAACAATCGCCTACAACAAACGCATTACAAGATGTTGGTCAAGTTCCGTTAACACAAATTGTATCTACTACTAGCGGAACACAGGCACCACTTGTCACGCACAATAGAACTGAACAGCCTGCAAATATTCCAAAGCAGGCATCTGCTCAGTCTCCAGTAGTTAGTGTTGCTTCACAGTCACAGGCAGAAGGTCATTCTTCTCAATCAGAAACGGAAAATAAGGTTCAAATTTCTTCAAATGGACCAAAATCAACTTCCACAGTGCAGAAAGCTCCGACTACTGGATCTCAGCCAAATGATCAAGGAACCAAACGAACATCTCGACCCGGATCACCTTCTGGCGTAATCGTTTGTCCTGTATCATCACCTGCTGTAAATAATAAAGGTCAGCTAACTAATGTCAAACAACCGGTAAACAAGAATAATGCACATGCTGTCAGGAAAAGCTCCGTGCAAAACATTCCGAAAAATGTCATTACAACCGGTTCGAGTGACCATGAACAGCAAGGCGTAAAATCGTTTAACAATACACCACAAACTAAGAAAACTTGGGCAAGCTTGGCGGCCAATGGATTGGAAAAGTGGAATAATACTGCATTGTCTGAAGCCAAAGGCGTGGTCGCACCAGTTCCCGCAAAGTCTGGTCCACAGCAATCTCAACATATGCGAGACAACCGTGATCGACGTTCCGAGGGGTTAAAAAACAATAACCGACGTAATAGCGGTAAGTATCTTTTAATATAACTTCTATACTATCCGGGTTTTTATTCAATATTCTTTTTAATACATAGATACAAGCCTCTCAATATATGTAAAAGGGGTCACATCCTCAATGACTTACGATCAAATCAAGGCGGCGTTCACGAGTTTTGGCTATGTTAAACATCTCGACGTTGTACACTCCAAAGTGAGGAGACCTTTCAATAACCTATTATATTTTGTTTAAATAAGTAATTAATTAATTATAATTTTTTTAATAGTCCTGTGCTTTCGTTGATTTCTCCAATTTTGAATCATATCGACGCGCTCTTGACGCGCATACAGTTGAAGTTGGAGGTGAAACCGTTAACACAGAAGAACGTCGTGCACGTCGTGGCACTGGTAAATCTTCCCGCGGACGTTTCTAAATGATTCGGAACAACACACTTTAGAAAGGGTGCTTGAAAAAAACATTTTTATAAAGAAATTTTATTTACATTATAGTTAAGGAGATCTTGCACATAATTTTAGTTTTTTTTTTTTATTTCAATTTTTTCCTTTTCTCCCCCCTTTTTATATATATATATTATAATATTTTGTAAAAATTTTTACGCTAAACGTCAAATATCACTTTGACGGTTACCGTGATTTGATATCACTAAAAATTCACTATTATAAATATTAGATATATATTTTTATTCAAAAGTATTATATATAGTATTTAGTAGGTATAACATCGATGAGAGGTTGAGAGAATTTCACGGAATATCTCTAGTTTTTAAAAGATAAATCGGTGGTCTCCTCAACAAAAAAAAAAGTATTTTTACATTTTAATAAATCTCATTAATTATATTTTTGTAAATCTGCAATCATAAATTATCTATATAACAAAAAAAAGATAATCATTCTAATTCTAAAATACATGGACGATTTGCCTTTCGAACAAAGTAACAAAGTAGTTAAAACACTGTTCTCGAGATAATTAAGAATTATTTAGATTAATGATATTTTTAATTTCAGAATGGTACTTATCTAAATAAAATATTAACATATTTTATTACTTTTATCAGAATAAATTATCACATCAATATTATCCAATTAAAATTTTGATGATTATATTCATGTATACCATCTCATTATTCGTAACTTTTCGAACAACATGACTCGACTCGATATCGTTAAAAATGGTGATAAAAATAAAAAGCTTAAAACGAAGAGAAAGCCTCGCAATGATATAAATTTCAAGAGTTTACAATCAATTCCGATTCTTGATGGCAAGCAACCCGATAAAATTTCTAAAAAGAATTTTACTGGCTTTAAGGTTAAAGCCAACCAATTTAAAAGTAAAAAGAATTCTTCTACCATAAATCTTTATAAACAAAAACAACAGTCTCCGGATACGACTAGTTTAATTAGTGACGACGAACAAAATACTGATAATCAAATTAATAATAATAATAATAATAATAACAATAATAATGAAAATTCCGAATCTCAGATTCAAGCCGAGCAAGAAGAAAATCAACTGTATTCTTTAAATATTTCCGGTTTAGTTTCTACTAATCAACGAGAGATTAGTGAAGGACCTTTTCCTCAATATGAACCTCCCTCGGGGTGGAAAAAATTGGAAACAAGTGAAATTTCAACATTTGATTTTAAAAATGTTCACAATGAAGACAATGAATTATGGTTATTTAAAATTCCTCCAAATATTTCAAAGTCGGACCTTCAAGGGCTAACTCTGAAACTTCCTACGGGATTATCCCGAATCCCAACAAAAGTAGCAACTATACAACAAGAATTACAAGAACATTTATATAAAAAGAAGAATTCTGAATCAGCAGAGTATCATGTTTACGAGATGCCTAACGATGATGATATTTCTCAAGAGAATGAAATGGGCAAAGGGATTATCAGAGAATTGAGAGCCCCACATGAAACGATCTATAAACAAATGAAAGGGTTGGAAATATTATTACCATGCCACGAAGCTCAAGGTTTACTGCTCTCGCATAAAAAACCTACACGCTACTTTAATATATGTCGACCTGTTAATCCACCTGATTCGAATTCAAACATTGATTCGATTTTGGCGAAACGACGAGATACCATCATTCACCCACCAGAAACGTTTGTTCCAAGATATACCACCACGTTCCCTGATTACTCTAAAAAACACATGATCGAGGCAAATGCCGCTAAAGAAAAATTTCGAAATAAAATGATGAATGAATGGAAATTTCCAAAGTGGCAACAACAAATTAAAAAACATGAGGAAATGGTAGAAAGCTCTTACAGGGAATATAAAAAAAAATGTAAGATCGCGGTGAACCAATCGAAAAGGAAATTTGCGAAAGAGGTCAAAGATAAGAAGGGTTGGGATGTTTTAGGGATAAAGAAGAGGAAAACATCTTCAAATGGTGGTAACATGGAAGATGGTGATGGCAATAGTTCAACGGCGTCATCAAGTATTGAAAGCGAGGAGAGACTTCCCAATAAAACAAAGATTTTGGCTGACCTCAAACGTCAAAGAAACTTTGAACACGAGGATCCAGATATAGATTTAGAGATATTCGAAGAAGTCGCAGAAGAGGAAATGGCTTTTGTGCAACTTGCTCAAAACCAAATCTATCAAAGGAGACGAACAGTTAAAGAAGCACGAGAGGCGGAAAAAATGGCATCTGTCACATGGGTCCCCGCTTTAGTTAATTATCCGACATATAAACCGCCAGAAACCTGGTGGTCAAAAACTTATGACAAGATCTTTGACGAAACATCAAAAACTAAGTTTAGACCGAAATTAACCAAATGGAAATATACATTAGAAGAAAGGTTGGAATATTATAGAAGACATGGTTGCGAACCTCCATCATACGCCGCAGCAGGGACGAGAGGCCATAGGATTGAAATCAATTACGATGGAATTGAGGGAAACCTCGAAATTCCTAAATTGAACTCAAAAAGAATACTTCCACCGCCATCCCCTGGAACAACGGGTCATCTTCGACCTTGTGTCGAGCTGATCGATAATTCTAAATGTTAACATTTCGTGTAAACCATTTAACCAATCCATAAATCACGTAAATAAAATATTAAGGTCCAATCATGTGTTTAATTGAATTTTTGACTATTTTCTTTATATGGTAATGATTTTACGACAGTCCAATAAATTTACTCGGATACCCGTTTTGTGAATAAATGCAATGGAAGATTCTTTATTAAAAATTTAAAAAATTTTGTAAAAAAAAAATTTCTTTCTTTTCTTTCTTTACCGATATCATCTGTACATAACTCTTGTTTACTTAATTCTGTTACTCTTTCTACTTTAACATTTGACGGCATCACTGCCGCAATTCTTGGATACCCAAGACGTTATCCTAATTCATTTTATTCCTTTTCCTTTTCCCTTGTTCTTATTTTTTTTTTTTTTCCTCATTATTTAATATATATCAGTATATCAGAGCACAACAGATAAAAAAAAAGAGAAGCCATGCTCGCTATTTATAATAAAATTATTATTTTATATTTACGATTTAATTACATATTTTATAACAACTACAAACTACAATACCAACAATAGCTTTAAATTTAAATTTACAAACATTTATTTATTAGAGCTACAACCAACTTCGATCCTAGTAGTTAATACTTGATAAATTTCAGGTTTTAAAATCAAAAAAAAAAAAAGCTTTTTGATAAAGCGAACACTCTTTTATTTAATTAATTATATGGCCGATATTGAATATAACGTCGGTAAAGCTCCGCCTCCTGTTCCTCCAAAAGACGACTTACGTCCCATGACCCCTCCAAAAGATTTTCCAAGGATAAAATTTCAAACTTCTGAATCAATAGGTCCTTCTACATCTAAAATTTCAGGACTTGAAGAAACAATTTCTGAATCTTTAAGTATATCCTCAAATACTTTTCCAGGTGCAAAACGACAAAATAAAGTTTCTTCAACACATACAAATGTAGATTCCATATTCATTGATCAAGATGCTACTTCAAATAACCAACCTGCTGATCATGAACCTCGTAAAGAAACCCATCGCTCAGATTCGATGTTTACAAAACTTTCCTGGTGGTTAAGTTGGGGAAGGTCAAAACCTAAAAATCATAATAATGTTAAATTCACGGAGGAATCAATATCAACAACTAATATCCCTTCATCATCATCATTGTCATCCCCTCCGATAATTATTCAAAGTACGTCAACTGACGCTGGAGCTGGAGCTGATCCCACAAATGATAACTTAAATCTAACAAAATCAAGAAATCAAGCTCCAATTCCAACGATCAATTCACCATCATCATCATCATCATCATCATTGCAAAATAATAATCAAGTACCTAATGATAATAATGATGGTGAGGCACCAAAAGTAAAAAAATCAAATAGTATAACGAATTTATTTCGTAGATTTAGTTATAGAAGAAGAACGGAAAGAAAGGAAAATAGCAGTTCAACAGTTGTTGAGGAATCAACCTCAACCAATAATAATTTCTCGACTGTTCCATCTTCAAAACCGTCACGTCGAAAATCCAATTTTGGTTCACTTATTGAAAGACTTACAAAACGAAAATTTTCATTTACATTCGATCAGCGTAAAGCCTCTGAAACGACAAAGAATAGATCCACCGAACCAAATCTTACGAATCCTACAGAAAATAATAATGATGACCTTTATACAAATAATGATCAAATTAAGAAGGTTGATAATAAATTAAAACAAAAAGAATTGGTCGTGCAAGGACAAGATCTTACAGCTTCTTCTAACACCTTATGCCAAGTTGAATCTACGGTTTCGCAATCAACGCAATCAACTGCGGCCGAAACCTTGAATTCACTTAATAATAATGATCATCATGAAAATATGGACTTGAATAATAATATGGATATTGATGCGATTTCTCCTTTAAGACATTCAATTGCTAAATCATCAAATTCTTCGGAACGTGCGGATGATGACACAATAAAAGGGGTTTCTGGAACCATTCGTCACAGCAGAATCTTTGATATATTTACAGCGAAAAAGGATATTTCTCGACGAAGTTCGATCGCAACTCGAACGAGTCTTGTAAATATCAATCAAATGTCGAATGGTATTCCTCCACGTCACATCAGAATAAATTCTAATAATATGAAGGAATCCTTATTTGTAAATAATAATAATAATAATCATAATAATATTAATAGTGTTAATAGTATTAATATTAATAGTTCAACTAATATGATTTCACAATCTTCTCCACTTAAGAATTCTTCACCTCTAAGTTCGAATTCATATAAGCCATATGATACCGATAATAATAAATCAAAAAATTCACCAAAAAAATCCGAAACGGAAAATAAGAATATGATAATATCAAGGGATGATGAAATCACTTCGGAATTAGATGATAAGATAAAGACTGACAAATCACCTTTACGTTTATTTAAGAAAAAATTTTATCAAAGTCTTCGACCCTCTCAATCTAATTCTGAAACCGAAAATACCAAAAAACATATTGAAACTTCGGAAGAATATCCAATCATTTCTTCCGTACTTATCACAAACGATAATAATGAATATGAGCCAACCACAAATGTCACCACTCTTCAAGAGATTCATAAAAATTGTCATACCGCTGAAGTAGAGTCCGATGAAAGTGACAGTGATAATGACAGAGATTTAGATGATATGACATTAGACGATGGGGTTGAAGGAGATGTTTCGGCTACTCAATCTCAAGCACCAGAATCCAGTCTCAACACAGGATCGGAATATGACGCATCATCTCACAAGAAATCAATGTCCCGTATGTCATCGTTTTCCAAGTCTTTTAATTCGGAAGATCCTTCGGCATTCAGCACAACATTTTCTGATTCACAACCATCACAATTTAATGAATCTGATGTGTCCAAATTAGATTGGCCCATGGAATCGGCTTGGGATGTCCTCCTGAATAGTACGCCAACGACGGCGAATGATAGAAAAGGTCCTGCCAGATTAAGTAATAATCGTTTATCATATATTCCCAATCATTTCTTTGAAGGTCTTCATAATTTAAAAGAATTATACCTTGATCGTAATTCACTTCGAGATTTACCCGAAGAACTTTTGAAATTAACCAAATTAGAGATATTGGATTTAAGTAACAATTGTATATCAGAGTTTCATCCAAGGTTAAAATTTAGAAGAATGAAAAATTTAAGAAGACTTAATTTGGACAATAATGTATTATCGGATGTAACGAGTATAACCAAATTAAAGACCCTTAGGGAATTAAGAGCGAATAACAATTTGTTGGGGAGTATATCAACAGACATTTCAAAATTGGCTAAATTAAGACTTTTATATTTGGACAGTAATCAACTTACGAGCCTGCCAGATTCGATTGGAAGGTTAAAATCATTATGCGTGTTAAGATTAAACAATAATAATGTAGAAGGTTTACCAGCTGCCATTTGTTCATTACATCAATTACAAGTTTTAGAACTGAGATCGAATTTGTTAAGTTCATTACCAGAAAATATAAAAGAATTGGAGAATTTGGCAAAATTGGACATCTCCAATAACAAACTTACATCATTACCCAATGAATTGGTAAAATGTAATAGGTTGACACATTTAAACGCTCATAATAACCTACTTGAGTCGATACCATCTAAATTTGGACAACTTTCGAGATTGTTAACATTAAATTTACGCGAAAATCGATTAATCAATTTACCAGCAGATATTGGAAAGTTAACATCTTTAACCGAGTTAGACCTATCACATAATGAATTGGTTGTTTTACCTGAAGATTTAGGAAAGTTAATTAAACTTACAGAAATTAAACTTAATAATAATCCATCATTATTAGCAATCCCTAATTCATTTCAAAAACTCGCTCTTATAAGAAAAGTTCATTTACAACATTGTAGTCTAAGTCAAATACCATTTGAAATGGGTGTCGCTTATAATCAACTCACTTATGTGAATTTATCATATAATCACTTTGACACCATGCCCAAGCTTCAAGGAATGGATCATGTGATAAGCTTTAATATATCAAATAATCGTATCACCGATCTAACTGAACAGATTGACCAATTGGAAATGTTGCGTGAATTATACGTTATAAACAATAAATTAACTCATCTTCCAAAATCGATTGGACGTCTCAAAAAACTTGAGATCATGGATTTTTCAGAGAATATTTTAGTGGACTTGCCAATATCAATTGGTGATTGTGTTAGTTTACGTGAATTAAAGCTTAGGGGAAATTCCATAGAAAATTTACCCATCACGTTAGGAAAATTAACAGGTTTAAATGTATTTTATGTTGGACAATGGCCGTCCAATGGATTTAGCGTAACACAAGATGAAGAAGATAGGAATCAAAATCTAAAGATTAGTTCTTATCGACATAAGATTCCACACCATGTTGAAAGGAATCTATTATGGAGGATGCATGATTCCATACTTAAAAGATTACGGGATATCGATAATGATGGTGCTTCGGAATTTTTACAAAGTCCTTCGAATGAATCCAATAATTCGCAACAAGATGTCACCAGTCATCCCCCATCCCCTACTCCAAGTCCTCCAAGAGATGATGTCATATTGAAAATGGCCGTGTTAAAAGGCGTTTATGATCAAATTATGAGAGATATGCGCAATAACGATTATGATAAGGAATCAAGTGGAGATGACACAAATGAATTTCCTGGTGAGATTGAGAAGAAGAAAAAATTCGCTAAATTCAAATTTCTCAAAATAGGTGATAAACAATAATTTGATAGAATTTTTTTTTTGTTTTTTATATAATTTGTATTTTTATTTTTTAAGTTGTAGGTGGGAAGATAAATTCTTTGTAATATAATTTCGAAAAAATTTTAGAAAATTTTAAAATTAAAAACTTGTGTGAATTTTACAACTACAGTTTTCTACTTAAAACATACGCGTCAGAAGGTGATATTTTCTTGTAATATCCTTCTACTGTCGCAACAACTTCAAAATCATATTTCTTATAAAAATTTAAAGCTTCCTCATTTGATGTTTGCACATGAAGATA